GTTAAGAAAGTTTTGCCCCATTTTATGACCCCTTTTTTGGCCACAGTTGTTAAACGAGTCACTGCCATTCTTAAATGAATCGTCCGGCTTCCTCCATTGTACTTCCTTGTCAGAATCGGATTGGGAAGGTTTATCCCCTTGGGACACTGTAACCAACATAAATACAGGCGCCTTGCCAAGTGTCCAAATTGGCTGGGGAATTCTGGGAGGTGAAGTCCACCCGTCTTAAAGCATTCCTGCTGGGGAATTCTGGGAGTTGAAGTCCATTTGTCTTAAAGCATTTTGGCTGGGGAATTCTGGGAGTTGAAGTCCATTTGTCTTAAAGCATTTTGGCTGAGGAATTCTGGGAGTTGAAGTCCATTTGTCTTAAAGCATTCCGACTGGGGAATTCTGGGAGGTGAAGTCCACCCATTTTAAGGCATTCTGGCTAGGGAATTCTGGGAGTTGAAGTCCATTTGTCTTAAAGCATTCCGACTGGGGAATTCTGGGAGGTGAAGTCCACTTGTCTTAAAGCATTTTGGCTGAGGAATTCTGAGAGTTGAAGTCCACCCATTTTAAGGCATTTTGGCTGGGGAATTCTGGGAAATGAAGTCCACCCGTTTTAAGGCATTCTGGCTGAGGAATTCTGGGAGTTGAAGTTCATGCCAAGGTTGATAAAGTGACTAAACTAGCAGCATGGAACTTGGAAAAGGAATGCAGGAATCACTGTATGGACCTGAGGCCAATCATATGCTCCCACTGACCGCCAGGAAAATATACATTGTGTTATTATTATTATTATTTTTTTACACCAGGGTGCGGGGAAGGGGCACTACTTTCTGTTTTTGCCCTCCCTCAGAATTGGCTTCAAAATGGTCCCAGTACAAAGATGCTAGCTGGGGGCCTCCATAAGCCAGGAAACAATTCTTACTTATTAATACAACAACCCTTTTTTTTTATAAAAAAAAGAATATTCAGTTTTTTGAATAATCAAATCACTCAGCGGGAACGTCATTTATTTCCCACTATTGAAAGCTGCACATTGTACGGAGATGTAAGATTATTTTTCTTTCTTTTCTTTTTTTTTTCTTTTTTTTTTTTTTTTTGGTCTCCTTGGAGACCAAACTGGATTTCACAGCAGCAACAAGTAAAAATGTCGATATTCATTCAGCCCTTTGGTGAGGTGTCGGCAGCTGCACAACGTTGCGTGTCGTCACCCTTTTGTTTTCTAGGTTTTCAAAAATCAATTTGTTTGCTTGCTCTTTTAAAATACTTGTAAGTTTTCTCCTTTATTAAGGGGTCACGATTGCATGTCGGTTTCTATCTATGAAGAAAAGGCACCCACCACAAACAGAGGAAGCCACTTTCTTAACTTCAATTCTGGGAATTGACGTCCATCTCTCTTAAAGCAGGCCAGCTGAGGAATTCTGGGAATTGATGCCCGTCTCTCTTAAAGCAGGCCAGCTGAGGAATTCTGGGAATTGATGCCCGTCTCTCTTAAACCAGGCCAGCTGAGGAATTCTGGGAGTTGAAGTCCACCCAGTGTCAGGGTTCCAACAAACACCCCCAATGGAATCACACCCGGTCTTGCTTTGGCAGCCCTGAAGATGCTTCCAAAATGGCCTCAGGCAATGCGTGCTGGCCCCCCCATGCCCCCTGCACATGCGTGCACGATCCCCCCTCGCATGCCACGTGTCTCTGCGCATGCCTGCATGTCTCGCCCCCACACACCCTGAACCCTGCACATGCGCGCCAAATACCCGACAATCAGCTGTCGGGTGGTGGCGCACGCCCACATGTGCAGTGGGGCACTTCCGGGGGACCTCTCATGTGCTGAGGGAAATGGCTCTGCGTACCACTTCCTACAAGCGTGCATAGTCTGCTAACACGGTCCTATACCATTTCAGACAAATGGTTGTCCAGTCGCTTCTTAAAACTCTCCATTGTTGGAACACCCTCAGCTTCTGGGGGCAAGTCGTTCCACCGATGAATTGTTCTAACTGTCTCGCTTAGCACCAGACATTTCGGTCTCAATAGTGGTCTTACTTCAAGGACTCCCTGAAGGCATTAAATCAGCTATGAGGCATAGTGCAGGTAAGGGGATGAGGGGGGTGGATGGGTAGGGATTGCGCGTGCATGTGTAGGGGGCATGGGGGGCACGCATTGCTTCTGGGTGCTGGAACGCAAGCGCGAGCATGCAAGTACACACACAATTTTTGGCACAGGAGCCCCCAAAAGATTAGACACCACTGGTATAGGGACTCCTGCTTGAGCAGGGGGTTGGACTAGAAGACCTCTGAGGCCCCTTCCAGCTCTACTCTATTCTATTCTAACTCTGGAAAACAAAACCCTCAAAGGCAGTGGAAAGCTTGAATCATTTAGCTTCCCAATTTTAGCTCCAGAGTGAATTTTAGAGGGGGGCCAAAGTTGCCCTTAATAATAAAGAATCTTTCTGAAGGTCTGTTGCATTAGCTTAATGGTGGATAATTAGCTCACGGTGGCCTGGACTTTTATTTTTTTGATATTAATCGTGCATCCTATTAGGTGGGTGATTACGAGATGAAAGATGTCATTTCATCCTTCTCCGATCTGGGCAAGGATTTGGTGTTTTGGGTCTCGAAAACAAGGAGCGGATAATTATGGGTTGAGCATAATTTTGGAATAATTTTGGATTTTTTTGGGGGGGGCAGGAGGGACTCGTCAAGTCAAAAAAGTCAAGCTGGAGGCCACAAAATACCACCTTTATTCCATGACTTTTTTGAACTTTGTGGAAATGCCCCGTCTTGGCAAGTTATATATACACCAGACCATGCTTTTACGCTGTACTATAGTTCAGGGATCCCCAACCACCGGTCCCTGGACCGGTACTGGTCCATGGAACAATTTCTACTGGAACGCCAGTTTGCTGGGCGCCGCCATCTTGTTTTGATGAAAAAGTGCTTCCGGTGAGCTTTTCCGGGTCGAAAGCGGCGTTTGGGTGCTGAAAGAATCCTTGCGCCTTAGTTTCATCGAGGTGGGGGGGCGGCTTCAAACAAAACTAAGGCGTGAGGATTCTTTCAGCATGCATGGCAAGGCGAGTCGAGCGACCGTCCCGAAGCCGCCGCAAAACCCATCGACACAGGTACAAAGGAGGAGTTGAAGGTGGCGGGGAGAAGCGGGGGACGGCTGGCTGGCTGGTCGCTCGGCTCGCCTTGCCATGCGTGGTACCGCCTTGCCGGTACCGGGCCGCGGGTGATTTTGTGATGTCGGTACCGAGCCGCGGCACAAACAAGGTTGGGGACCACTGCTATAGTTCATTAAGGGTTGGGCTTTGTATAAATGTAATTAATAATAATAATTGGGGCTTATGTTGGAGGTGGCTGATGAGGAAGAGGAGGAACAGCTGTGTCCAGTGCCTGATGTGCGGATGAGCAGAAGGCAGAGGAGAGGAGAGCAATGGAAATCTATGGGCCGGTCCTCGGGACGGAAGAGCCACTGCTGCTAGTGAAGCCTCACCCGACCTCTGGGGATAAAAGTCAGGGGGTGGAGATGAATAGGTGGGGCAGACAACTATTCATCTCCATGCCAGACAGACTTGTTAGCGTGCGGTGTGTGTGTGAGAGAAGCTTTTTGCCGGAGCTGCTGACACTCCTAATAAAAGGAACATTTGTTTAACTACAGGGGGTTTTGTCGTGTTTGGGGAGCTGGGTCAGAACAGCCAAGCATAGACAACAAACACAAGCAGTACAGGTCTGGAGGTGGCCGATGAGGAAGAGGAGGAACAGCTGGGTCTAGTGCCTGACGCACGGATGTGCAGAAGGAAGAGGAGAGGAGAGCAGTGGAAATCTATGGGCCGGTCCTTGGGTCGGAAAAGCCACTGCTGCTTGTAAAGCTCCACCCTAGCTCTGTTTAGTTTACTTTATTGTCATTGCACCTCATACAACGAAATCAAACACCATCTTCAGTGCACATCATGCCCATGAAAATAAACACCAACGCACATCCTTAACCCTTCACACATTGAACCGGAAACCCCCGACACCACACCAACACTGCACTATATACAGCAGAATGCAAAAGAGCTACTGCCCTGGGATAGAAGCTGTTTTGCAGCCTTTTTGTCCTTGTTTTTATTATTCTCCCGTACCGTCTGCCAGATGGTAATAGTTCAAAAAAAAAAAAGGGAGCCCAGGATGAGATGGATCTTTGAGGATGCTTTGAACTTTCTTAAGGCAGCGGGAGCTCTAAAGCTCTTCCAAAGAGGGGAGAGGACAACCCATGATCCTCTGGGCAATGACGTTAACCCTCTGGAGCTCTGTCCTATCAAGGTCCTATCAACCTCCACTGTGCAAGTGGCAAACCATATAGAAGTGCAGTAGGTTAAAATGCTCTCTATGGTGCAGTGGTAAAAGGTCACCACCACTGCTAGCAAAGACCCACCTGAGCTCTGGGGATAAAAGGCAGGGGGTGGAGATGAATAGAAGTGACAGACAACTATTCATCTCCCTGCCGGATGGACTTGTTAGCCTGCGGTGAGAGAAACTTTTTGCCGAGGAGAGGAGAGCAGTGGAAATCTATGGGCCGGTCCCTGGAACGGAAGAGCCACCGCTACTAGCGAAGCCCCACTCTAGCTCTGGGGATAAAAGGCAGGGGGAGGAGATGAATAAGTGTGTCAGACAACTATTCATCTCCCGGACGGATGGACTTGTTAGCTCTCAGTGAGAGAGAAACTTTTGGCTGGGGCTGTTTGCACTCCTAATAAAGGGAATCATTTATTTAAATACAGAGGGTTTGTCGTGTTTCAGGAGATGGGTCAGAACAGCCTAGCATAGACTACAGACCTAAGCAGTGCAGCTAGTCCTCGATTTACAACCACAACGGAGCCTAAAATTTCTGCTGCTGCGCAAGACCTTTTGCAACAGGCCTGGAAGGTCCGCCGTTAACCAACCCAGTCGTAAGCCGAGGACTGCTGTACTTGGTGCAAATTTGGGGGTGACCTCTGATGTCTTTGGCTTCTGTGTCCATCTTCCCTCGCTTCTCAGGTGCACCAGGAAGGAGCAGTGCGAACGGTCCAGCGAGCCCCGGAGGTTTGCCTCGGAGATGAAGCAATGTGTCCAACTCACCGTGCACCCCAACAACATCTCCGTCTCCCAGTACAGCGTGACGGTGAGGATTATGGGCTTTTGAATTCTCAGATTCCACCACACCCAGGGCCCCTCGCTCAGGGCTCTCTGGCCTTGTGACCAAGGTGATATTGGTCTTCGGTAATAGAAAAGAGTGGGGTTTGAGGAGGGGGAAGGGAGGGAGAGAGGCAAGGAGGAAGGAAGGAAAACAGAAAGAGGAGGAGAAAGGAAGGGAGGGAGAAAGGGAGGGGGGAAGGAAGGAAAGAGAATGGAAGAGAAAAAATAGAAGGAGGGGGAGGAAAGGAATGAGGGAAGGGAGAAAGGTGAAGGAAAGAGGAGGAAGGAAAGAAGGAAGGAAGAAAAGAAAGGAGGAAGAAAGGAATTAAAAAGGAAGGAAGGAAAAAAGAAAGGAAGGAGAAGGGAAGAGGAGTGGGAGGAGGAGGGAAGGAAGGAGGGAAGGGAGGAAGGTGAAGGAAGGAAGGAAAGGAAAGTGAAGAAAAAGGAGAAAGGAAGAAAGGAATTAAAAAGGGAAGGAAGGACAAAAGGAAGGAAGGAGAGGGAAGAGGTGAAGGGAAGGGAAGAAGATGAAGACTGTAGGGTCCTTGGTGGGCTTTGAGCTTGATGGTTTTCTTGTAGACATTTCATTACCCAGCTAGGTAACATCATCAGTTTCAGAAGTGAGGTGACTTTACTCTCATTTGCTCTCCTTTCACATACACTGCTCAAAAAAATAAAGGGAACACAAAAATAAGACATCCTAGATCTGAATGAATGAAATATTCTTATTAAATACTTTGTTCATTACATAGTTCAATGTGCTGACAACAAAATCACACAAAATTTATCAATGGAAATCAAATTTAGCAACCCATGGAGGTCTGGATTCGGAGTTACACTCAAAATTAAAGTGGAAAAAACACTACAGGCTGATCCAATTTTGATGTAATGTCCTTAAAACAAGTCAAAATGAGGCTCAGTAGTGTGTGTGGCCTCCATGTGCCTGTATGACCTCCCTAGAATGCCTGGGCATGCTCCTCATGAGGTGGCGGATGGTCTCCTGAGGGATCTCCTCCCACACCTGGACTAAAGCATCCCTCAACTCCTGGACAGTCTGTGGTGCAACGTGGCATTGGTGGATGGAGCGAGACATGATGTCCCAGATGTGCTCAATTGGAGTCAGGTCTGGGGAACCGGCAGGCCAGTCCATAGCATCAATGCCTTCATCTTGCAGGAACTGCTGACACACTCCAGCCACATGAGGTCTAGCATTGTTGTGCATTAGGAGGAACCCAGGGCTAACCGCACCAGCATATGGTCTCACAAGGGGTCTGAGTATCTCATCTCAGTACCTAATGCCAGTCAGACTACCTCTGGTGAGCACATGGAGGGCTGTGCGGCCCCCTAAAGAAATGCCACCTCACACCATTACTGACCCACTGCCAAACTGGTCATGCTGGAGGATGTTGCAGGCAGCAGAACATTCTCCACAGCGTCTCCAGACCCTGTCATGTCTGTCACATGTGCTCAGTGGGAACCTGCTTTCATCTGTGAAGAGCACAGGGTGCCAGTGGCGAATGTGCCAATCTTGTGGCAAATGCCAAACGTCCTGCAAGGTGTTGGGCTGTAAGCACAACCCCCACTTATGGACGTCAGGCCCTCATACCACCCTCATGGAGTCTGTTTCTGACCGTTTGAGCAGCCACATGCACATTTGTGGCCCGCTGGAGGTCATTTTTCAGGGCTCTGGCAGTGCTCCTCCTGTCCCTCCTTGCACAAAGGCGGAGGTAGCAGTCCTGATGCTGGGTTGTTGCCCTCCTACGGCCTGCTCCACATCTCCTGATGTACTGGTCTGTCTCCTGGTAGCGCCTCCATGCTCTGGACACTACGCTGACAGACACAGCAAACCTTCTTGCCACAGCTCGCATTGATGTGCCATGCTGGATGAGCTGCACTACCTGAGCCACTTATGTGGGTTGTAGACTCCGTCTCACGTTACCACGAGAGTGAAAGCACCACCAGCATTCAAAAGTGACCAAACCATCAGCCAGAAAGCACAGGAAATGAGAAGTGCTCTGTGGTCACCACCTGCAGAACCACTCCTTTATTGGGGATGTCTTGCTAACTGCCTCCGCTTTCCACCTGTTGTCTATTCCATTTGCACAACAGCATGTGAAATTGATTGTCAGTGTTGCTACCTAAGTGGACGGTTTGATTTCACAGGTGTGTGATTGAGTTGGAGTTACATTGTGTTGTTTAATGTGTTCCCTTTATTTTTTTGAGCAGTGTATTAATGACAATGATATCCGTAGTGTTAGTAGTCTTGTTGGTTCCTTGATTAGGCTGTTATTTACTGTTAGCTTGTTTGCCTGAATTAATAGTCCCTTGATTGGGGAATTGTTTACTTTCTGATCGTCTAGTATTAATCTTGATGTTTATGTGGAGTTTGCTCTCTGTTTATATACTCGTGGCTTACCTGCCAGTTTTGGTGGGAGCAATCTTGGTGCTCCTTGATGGACCTGTTGTTCACCGTTTGATTGTTTGTCTGAGTCGGTGGTTGCTTGGGTAGGCATTATTTGTGGCTCGATTGATTTTGCAGCGTCAATTCAGTGCCAGAAAAACAGGTGGCCGATGCTTCAGTTAACGCCTTTATAAACATAGATTTTACAAACCGGTTGTAGATTTCTCCAACATGGAGGCAAACTCAGACAGAAGGAGACATGTTGCAAGTTCAGAGCTTCAGCAGCAACTTCAGCGGCTCAGAAACAGACCTCAGTTTCACTTTAGTTCAGCAGGCAAGCATTATATACAGCAGAGGAGAGGTGCAGTTTCATTTTTAATAGACAGACTCGTAGCTCAACATAGCTGCAGAGCTTAATACAGAGCCACACCTAAGCTACTTTTAGTTTCAGTTTCTAGCCT